TCCTTAAGGTATATTTTAGTTATTCTTTGATAAGTTCCAGTACATTAGGGTTTCAAAATGGTAATTATTTTGAGTCTTTTTTGAAAGACGTTTTTAATTTCTTTAGGATGTTTTCTCTTGTTCTCGTTCTGGATCTTTCAAAACCTAATGATCTTTGGCCCACCATGGAAAATCTCTTGCAAGCCACAAAAAGCCATGTAGACAAGGTGATAATGAAACTGGGAAAGACGAATTCTGAAGCAGTTTCTGAAATGAGACAGAAGATCTGGAATAATATGCAGAAGGACCATCCTGTGAGTTGCTGTTTGGAATTATTACTAGAATCCTTAGCCTCATGTATAGTTAATGATAACATCACAAACAACTTCTTTAGATTTTTATGCATGACTTGAAATTCATTTGATGTAGATGAACTTGTTCACTGGAAAATTACAGCAATTTATTAAAATCTCAGTAAGAGCAAAACAAGGAAAAAGATTCCTTACATCTTCTTGTTAGACATCTACTGTGATTATAATGGCATTTTACACCAATCAGAGAAATAGAGTTTTAAAGTAGTGGTTTGATATTGATTTTATAATCTCTGTAAAAATGTAGATAAAAATCCAGATTGTTCAAAGTCATCTGACAAAGACTAGATGAAGCTACAACTTTAAGCAAGGGGTAGAGTTTTAATAGCCTTCACCATCACTCTGTATTTTACATTTATTTAGTTCTGTCACTTATTCAATATCTTTTGATCATCTGACAGCTAGTTAAATTATAAAGTTGCTGTGATAGTAACACAGGTTCTTCAAATACAATCATAAATATCATCATCTAGAAAACTAAGAGCAGCATTTTATATTATCCAGAGTTTATAAGAAAGTGTTTTACATAGGAAGTTATGTAACAGAACAAATCTATGCTAGATAAATGCTATTCCACAAACAGTTAACATAAAATAGAAAAAAAAAAAAAAAAAACCAAAAAAAAAAAAAAAAAAAAAAAGAGAGAGCGAGATAGTGAGGG